TCAAAGAATAGCAACACTAAACCCTACCAGGCACGACATGCGAAGTACTAAGGGTAGACTGAGATTGGCTACCTCACTCCATAAAATACAGCAGCCACAAAAACCAACTAAGTACAAACAAGCCTTAAAAACCATGGGGTGAGCTACACATGAAGATAACGAATAGGACTTGGAGCAAGGCAGCTGAGGGTCTTAGCTCCATTAGGGACAGAAGAAGAAGAAGAATTGCTATCACAAGAATTACAAGCTGTACTGCAGAGCGACAACCAGGAGGTTGGCAACTAACCTCACTGGCAGCTTTCCTGATTTCCATCTCTCGTTTGTTTTCCGCAAGCTGTAGCTCCAGTTCTTTGACTCTGGCAACCAGATCCGAATCATTGCCTGCATTGTCTGCTACAACAGCCAGCTTCTCCTGCAAGGGAAACAATTCAGCTGATCAAGAGGATGGCAACAACCCATGACAGAAAACATAAACCGTGTAGTAATAACCCCCAATAATTACAGTAAAGTTATGGTGTAAAAAGTTTCCTTACGTTGAGACAGTTGCACTACACACTGCAGCGTTTCAATACTAATGGTGCCGGTTGTAGTATGGCTGTATATCGGTCTTGCCTTCCCACTGAGCGTAGTGTGCCGGCCGAACCCTCTGGTCAGATGCATCACTCTCTCCTGCCCATAATAATCTAGTTTCTATTGTGACTTTGTTTACAAACTTACTATGATCTGCACAAACTTACTATGATCTGCACAAACTTACTATGATCTGCACAAACTTACTATGATTTGCACAAACTTACTATGATCTGCACAAAACTTACTATGATCTGCACAAACTTACTATGATCTGATCTGCACAAACTTACTATGATCTGCACAAACTTACTATGATCTGCACAAACTTACTATGATCTCTGATATCTCATTCAATGACAGTAACAGCAAGAAAACACTCCAAAGTCTGGCAGAACACACTTTTCAACATGAATGTTTTACTGGCTGCTCCCATATGGATACCATCCTTCTGTCTTCCACCACCAGAGTTGGAAAACAGGCTCTCGACTCATCTTCAAACATCAATAGTTGTATTTCTCCTGGCAATATACTCTTCTGTCAACAAAGACCCCCTTTCACATTCACAGGAGGTTCACTTCGCTGTAGACTGCCTGAGCAGATTTAACTTGCTAGTACACATTCATTCTACACTTGCAATGCGTTAAAACGCCAAACACAGAATGATCTTTAGTCATCTCACCCTTCTAATCATTCATTCAATTCACAGGCATCACCCCAACATCACTCGGTTATTTTTGTGTTGCACAACAATCACACTAAACCTCATGTTTATTTTTTTCTGGCCTGTGATCTTTTTAAGCACCGCCTTTTATACATCATTTTTGCTAACTAGACATTTACCTCATAAAGTTTATCAATATACATAAACCCTTTCAAGTCACAATGCATACTCTATATTGAGTGTGCTCTGTGTGGGACTATATCACAGTCAGAAGTGACTAGATTGAGTCTTCTTGGGGTGACAGAGTTAATAAAACCCAAACAGATTAATTAAATGAATGTTACTGTTGCATGTGTCTCTTAAAAACAATGTTCCAGCCACGTAAATGTAAGATTCTGGAACCTCTAACAAGCAGCAAATGTCTTCTAAGCTACAAACTGTAATTGGATTTAATATATAAATGCTATTTCAATTTACTGCGGATTAGTGCTTAGTGAAACTGTTTCATAATACAATCTCTGATGTACTAAGGTTCAATTTCTACAATACACTAATAGGAATTTGAAAAAAAAAAAATTCTCATGGCTTTTAGACATTATTTAGGAAAGTCATACTGCGGAAGAGAGTGGTACCTAGCGACATATTTCTAAAGATGGCAGCTGGTGCACTGCAAATAATTATATTCTAGAGACCGCGCATACTTAACAAAATGAACATTGTTTTTGCTCTGGCTATAGCCGCGAGCTGGTCTGCAAATATTGTGTTCTATTTTGTCGGTCTGTGTGTGCAAAAAATGTAAACCCTATGTCACATTACAGAATCAACACACCTACCTCAATAGGCAGGCCCACAGTCTGAACACCCCCAAAATCGTCATTGTAACTATGATATCGGATGGTCCGACCGTAGTTATATAGTTCGTTTGTTGTGGGGGAGTCCAGCTGGAAGAAATCTATATAAATCACTCTTAGATTGTTTCTTTTAGGCGTTTAGTGTCAATTTGCATGTTAGGACACATTTTCTACGCCCGTTTAAGATTAATTGTGTGACCGCTTCACAGTGTACTTGAGCCATATTCTCACACCAACTGTCGTAGATAGGGACTATAATTTTATACGTCACTTCTTCATAGTCCATTCAAGTGAGCGAACGTGTTGCATTTTTGTAGCCACTTGACCGTTAAAAAAGACAAGCTTCTTTATTCTCTTTATCCATTGTCATGGATGAGTTTTCCTAAAAGGATTTAATTGAATATTTGTGCTCAGTGCCTGTATGTGTGTGCAAGAAAGGTTGGCAAATTGATAATGCGAATCTGTTTGTCTACGATCGCCTGCGATGAAAGACGACAGATAGCGATCCCGGTTGGAATGCACTTTCGGCTGAAATTTCTCCGTGAATTCTTCGAGCCGGCTTTCTAAACCTCTTCGGATCAATCAATCCACCTATCTGGAGTGTATTTATGGTATTGTTAACTTTGTATGATCAGTTGTTATCTTTTATTCGGTCTCTGAACTTGTTGAGTCGCTGGACCGTTGGAAAGGACAAGAAGCTTCGGGTCAGACATGACGTCATATCCGCTGTTGCTAGGAGCTACTGTAACCACAACAAGCTTAGGCTCTAGGAATGCTTTCGGAGCATATTTTCTTCTATCTTGGTTTTGTCTTCATCTCCTATACCTTATCTTTCCAACTAGTGAAAAGGGTATATTTAGAGGGATGGGGAATGATAGAGATCTGTCTGGCTTTCGCTACAAGACTGGATTTAGAAACTATTCGAGTTCATAGAAACGTACGTATGACTCTAGTGCTCACTCTGGGAAACTGCAGGGGTTCCAAGATATTTGAAGTCAACCTTCATGGTTTGGACTAGCCCTCATTTATGTCTGAGCATGTGGAGAGCGTGAGGAGGGTGATTAACAGGGTACATTGGGTACGGTTTGCTCATGTGTGTTGCCTTGTTAATTTCAGGATATTGGAAGGTCCAACAAGCATCCGTGGCGTAGTCGTGCTCTTCCACCAACCAACACCGGGGAAGCGACTGACCTGCGTTGATCAGCCATTGCCTGATATGTTTGACTGTCTGTGAAGTCTACATCCACCAGTCTCTGGGAAGTTGATTGTCGTTTAATCAATCCCAGGGGTAATCTCAATCGTGCGGAGACATTCTGAGAAGCGAGACATTGCAGAATCCCACCTTCCGACACCCTGAGGAGCTACAGGATCCGACCAGATAAGTCAGAGTAGCACTACATTCGCGGCTTGAGTCCAGATGTGCCTTCGTAATCTGTCTCAGACCTCCACGCTATGATGATACTGGAAATGGATGTAGCCATGTAGAAAGACTTTTTCTCTAGCCTTTATTCTTCAAAGACTTGAACAATCATTCTAGTTCTTCATGCTACTTTTAATCTTTCTTGTTATAGAGTATTGAATACATTGAGGTTTTAGTTCATAAGACTTTTTGTTCTTAAAAAGGTTTGGTTTTAGTGGAATCAATTGTCGTAGTCAGTAAGGTGTTCATGTCTTGTCATATTCACTGTTGTCTATATATTTGACTGTGTTACGTTGTTTACCAGTCTGGGGGCAAATTTAGTAATGGGGATGTCTGGCCGAGAGGTACCCAAGAGTTCATAGTAACCCTGTGGAGTCAGAGCTCGAGTCACCTCATTCCTGAGACAGGTTGAATGGAAGTTTGAACCGAGGGTTAGGCCTCTAGACGAACGAGAGCCACCATTCAAAACACCCCTGTCTCAGAGCACCTGAGGGATTTGCGAAAATAATCCGTAAGTAAAGGTCTGTGACAAAACTGCCATACGACACCCTACTGGTCTACAACACAGCATGAAGATCACTGTACTTTATCATAGCATGAAGAACACTTAATTTATCACAGCATGAAGAACACCTTATCTTTATCATAGCGTGAAGAACATTGATCTTTGACATAGTATAAAGAATAATGATCTTTATCATTGCATGAAGAACACTGATCTTTATCATAACATGAAGAACATTGATCTTTATCATAGCATGAAGAACACAGATCTTTACCATAGCATGAAGAACACTGATCTTTATCATAACATGAAGAACATTGATCTTTATCATAGCATGAAGAACACAGATCTTTACCATAGCATGAAGAACACTGATTTTTATCACAGCAGGGAGAACACTATCTTTATCATAGCATGAAGAACACTATCTTTATCATAACATGAAGAACACTATCTTTATCATAGCATGAAGAACACAGATCTTTACCATAGCATGAAGAACACTGATTTTTATCACAGCAGGGAGAACACTATCTTTATCATAGCATGAAGAACACTGATCTTTATCATAGCATGAAGAACACAGATCTTTACCATAGCATGAAGAACACTGATTTTTATCACAGCAGGGAGAACACTATCTTTATCATAGCATGAAGAACACAGATCTTTACCATAGCATGAAGAACACTGATTTTTATCACAGCAGGGAGAACACTATCTTTATCATAGCATGAAGAACACAGATCTTTACCATAGCATGAAGAACACTGATTTTTATCACAGCAGGGAGAACACTATCTTTATCATAGCATGAAGAACACTGATCTTTATCATAGCTTAAAGAACACTTGTGTGATGCGGTTCTATATAACACAGCAACAATCCCACAATTAACATGACAATCAATCACACTTATGACAAGAGACCTTCCTAAAAGAAAGACAAACCAAGATATTAATCACACATAAATCAACATATTCAAATTACATTGAGTTGAGCAGCTATTTGCTCCTTCTCCTCATGGGCATTTTTAGCATTGAGGGCTTCCTTCTCTAGTTGGTCCAGCAGAGCATTCTCTGTTCTCAAGAGTTCTTCAATCTGGCAAAAACACACAGGCTTATTTTACCAAGGTCATGCAACAATTACACTGAGCAATTACTGACAAAGTCAGTGTCAGAAATATAGCAACTGATATTGAATAACCTAACTCACACACACAAAAGCAACAAGGCCACTCAGCAAAGGAAAAAGATATAATTAGCACATCTGTACTGTTTATTTTAACTATTCTACTAATATGTACCACAACCTTTTATACTGTTTCTTCTTTGAGTTTTAGGGTTAGATCAGTGGATCAACATCATGGCACACAGGTAGTAACCCATAAGTGCTCCGTTATTCTTCTAACTAAAGTCTGAGTATGAAGAAGCTCAGCACAGTGCACAGGCTCTGCAGCACCAGCGAGGAACCTGAAATACTTGGCTAGATTTTTAACTCCAGACTTTGCCCGGGCAGCTGGCGTGAAGCTACTCTTTTCAATTTCCAACTGCCAAGAAATTTTTACGTGCGCAGCAATGCACACGGGCGTCCGATCGCACTACCCAGAGACTGGGGGAATTACTAGAAGTCCAAGACCATGTGAAAAAAATTGCAGCCCTTACGGGGGATTGAACCTGGAACCTCTAGCACTCAAAGCGGACACCATGCATCAAGACCATGCAATTCCCCACTATTTCTTATCGTTCTATGTCAACATGTAATTTTCTTTTTAAAGTTCATTTATGTCCCCAGATAATACAGTAAAGTCACGGAAGTAGCTTCTAAAACCATGGGACATACTGCAAACTTTGTGTAGAGTGCTTGGATTGCAGGGAAAATCCATGTTCTGCATCTGCTTTGCCTTGAGGGTTGACCAGTTGACAAACGCATGTCCTAGATGCGTCCTCAAGGGGTAACCTGTGGATTGGGCAATCTGGTAATCTTAGTTTCAGCTTCATAGCAAACGCGTCACCCCATAGCTCCTATGCCAACGAAAAACACACAGAATGTTTTATCACAGTCCCTCGTGGAAAAATTGACAGAATGCTGTCGCAGCATATGCACTAGCATTCACACACATTAAAAGCATACGGTAGCCATCTGAAGTGCTAACACAAACAGTCCAACATTAGAAAAGCATTTCATCATGGATGGTAGCAGAAGTCACCAACAGATCAGCAGTTGCACACGCGATCAATTTTAATAACATAATGGCACCACCAATATTGCAACATGCATCGTGCCATTTTCTGAATCTACAGTTCACACCACCTTGGTCACAGTTGAAAAACATTCCAAATTAAATCCGCAGCTCACAGTGTCACACCATGCACTCAACTCAGAAGCTGGGCGACGAAACTATATCCTTTCAGTCTACAAATGGAGCAAAAATGCAACGGCCAACGTCTGGCAAAAGAAAAAAAATTTTTGCTGCGGCTCAAAACAGTTTCCGTGCCTAGCATCCATTTTGATCGGATCGGGCAATGAAGCAGTCACCAAACAAAATGTGAAACATCCCAAAAACTAACTGGAGAAGGTTAAACTTGACAACAAATGCCCAATTAAGTCAAATGTGTAGGCCAAAAGGCACAAATATACAACTCGGTTACATCACTCAAATAAATGATGAAGACGAAGTATGTGGTGCAAATTTTCAAACTGAAAAAGTAAAAGTAGAACAGATGAGAACTACACGTGAGATTGTTGACAGCATATGCTCCACTGTGAAATGGGGGAGGGGCGGGGAGAGACATTGCTGTGCAATACATGAACAATCTACATACTTTGGTCATGTGATGAGAAGGAGAAAACTGGAGTACATTGTGACAGTAGGAAAGTTGGAGGGGAGGAGAGGCAGAGGGAGACCAAGAGAAAAGATGCTTGACAGCGTGACATAATTGTATGGAAGATCATCTGTATCAAAGCTGACTGAAAGTACACAAGACAGAAGGTTGTGGTTGGATATGACTACCAACATCAAACGGCATGGAAGGTAAAAATTGAATAAACAAAAGACCCACCTCAGTACGTAGTTCTGACAAACTCAAGGTTTGTGTCTCCAGCTTCGTTTGCAGTTCCTCCACCTCCTTCTTCCTGTCACTGAGCTCTAAAGTGAGGGAGGAGATCTTCTCTGTCTGGCCTCTGTTTACTCGTTCCAGCTCTTCAATTTGTGACTTATTCTGCTTACAAGAAACATATTCTCTCTTTAAATACATGTCATAAGGTTTTATAGCGATCATACAACACTAATGTCCATTAAGTATTGCTGTATTGATCAGAAACAGGAAGTGTGCGTAAAACGATTTTAAAATAAAAAATTCATTAAATGTTGTCCGGACTAACCAGAAGGACTAAAATGGTGTGACAGAATCACTGTTGCAGTTTATCGAATCAGGAGGTGAGAAAAGATGTTAGCACAGAATAAGACACAATGAGAAAACATGCTAATAGTGTAACTAGAATGTTCTTTCACTGGAACACACAGGGCCAAAGAAAAAGGAGAAAAATCATAAAAGGAGGGGAGAATTAGAGACAAATTAATAATAACTGGAGGACAGGGAATGAGTTTAGGTGATATATACAATAAAAATAAAAAAAAAAAAAAAAATAGAGCTTAGAGTTTTGGAAGAGAGCAGCAACGTGCCAGATAATAACAAACTCAGCTTTAAAAACTGATCATTTTAAAAAGCTGGTAGACATATTAGAGCAAAACCAAACCAAATTAGAAAAAAATATGAAATACTACAGACATGAAAAAAAGTCTTGTTGAGAAACTCCAGCGGCATGAGCCGGCTGAAGGTTGACGCTCCAGTTGGAGAATAAAGGCTAGTAGAATAAGAAACACTTTTGTAGATGTGCTGTAAGAAAAGGGTCCTTTTTCACACCTCTAAGTGTACTGGGTATATAGGGCTAGACCTATATTTTACAGACCAGTCAGCACTCAGTGGGTGATGTGATCAGCATCATTCTGGCCACCTTTACTGTCCAAAATGCATAGACATTACAGCCTAGCTGCAAATCCCAACTGCTCTTTTAAGGGCAAAATGCAGCAGTAGCAGCAGCAGTGGAGAAGGAGGAGGAAGAAAAAGAACTAAGTTCTCTGTACAAGCAGTCACAACTAACCTTATTGCCCATGTGTGAATCAGCCTGTGCTTCTTTCAGCTGCACCCTGAGATTTGCCAGCTCCTGCTCCAGTTTTTTCACCTGTGATTTCATTGAAATGAACCGACTAAAATGTTAACATTAACATTAAGAGAATGAAAAGCTTACATAGAACTTTCCCAGATATATACAGTTAAGTCCACTAAAGTCTAACTCGGATAAGTCGAATTTAGGTTAAGCCGACATGACCAGCTTAGTCCCGGTTTTTTTCTCTATTGTGTGTACTGTCTTGCTAAGTAGAAGTCCTGATAAGTGGAATCATTTTCATAGGTCCCTGCGACTTCTACTTATCCAGACTCGACTGTATAGCCTTTCCTGTCATACCTAGGTAACTATAAAATCCAGGCTTGCAACAAAAAAACTCAACAACTCTTTCAGTCCCAGCAAGCACCTAGGAAAGGCAGTAATGACAGTACAATCACAAGAGCATTGCTTTCTTACAGGCCTGATATAAAGTAAGTAAAGTAAAGGTCCCTGTTCCTGCTGGAAATATAGGGCTAGGTTATATTTTTATCTACCAATCTGCACTTGGTAGGTGATGCGGTCAGCATCAGGCCGGCCGCCTTTACTTTCCAGGACTGCATCTGGTACCCACTCAAGGCTGGGTTAACCTGGAAGTTAAGGTCATTTTTTGAAGGGAAAAAAGTCCGGCTTCATCATGACGCGAACCCACGACCTTCCGATCTGCAGGCAGGCGTCTAGCTGCTAACGTCACGGTGACTCCCAGAGGCCTGATATATATACCTTATTTAAAACGCATTGTCAGATGTGTATAGTTAATATGACTGAATGTAAACAAGAGCAGACATACACAGCATGCTGATCGCAACAGAATGTTAAATTACCTCAAAACCTCAAAAGCTGAAATGAGATTTTCATTATATGAAGAAAAAGGATACCAGGAAAAGAGAGGGGGAAAAGAAATACTGCCTAAATAATCAACCTCTATGTCTCAGAGTTCACTAAAGACAAGAATTTTTTTTTTTTAATATTAAGGTTCAATTATTTCTGGACTTTAGAAAGACTACCAAGCAAAATCATAAAAGTGCAACATGGTACAAACAGAAACACTATCAATAATTATAAGTTTCATCTACACACTAGCTTAGACGCTATGAACATGCTATGCAATTTCAAGGTGCCCAGTTCGATTCTAGCTGCGGATGATTTGGCAGCAGACCACGTTGCAGTTATTTTGGCAGCAACACTGAGAGCTGACCATTCAGAGAGCAATAGCTAACTACTCAATGTACAATTGTCTAGTAAAACCAACAAAGAGCCCAAAGATGTTGGGGGTTGGATCTGAAAAGGATAGTTAACTACACATTGGAGTAGAAGAGGTGGTTTGAGATTTTGTGCTGCACCACAAGGGTAACTTCAGTTCGAGGTCTCTCAGGTTTCTCCAAAGCTTAGTTGTCAGATCTACTGTATGTGATCACATGTTGATTGGCAGCTCCTCCAGGAGAGGACAGTACATGCTCTGGGGTCTGTCAGGCAAGAAGACACTTATAGAGGGCTGTTTGGCTCATACCTAACTTACATGAGTGTTTGTTGAGTCTCCAGTGTGTTGAGTGTAAGCTTAAGATAGTAACTTGGTCAGCTTTGTTTAGATGTTCAGGGAAATCTCTTTTTCTTATATATCATGTTTGCTTTCCAAAGTTAACACTTTGAGTCCCAAGGAACGCATCATACATTCATAGGTTCCTACCTAGAAGCCCAATGAACGCATGATGCGCCGATTTTATTACTTTCTTCACTACCCCCTGGGCCTGTGATACTAAACCCCCTGGGACTCAAAGAGTTAAGTTATTGTAATTTTATTCATTTTTATTTATGACTGCCCAGTTGTCATTTGCTGATGATGGCTTTCTAGCTGCAATGTTCATTTTGTTGTTCTTGATTGTGGCTTTATGAAACTGACTAGATCTACTTCTTTTCTGCCTTAGAACAGGGCACAATCAACTTCGCAGCCAGATACAAAAATTTAAGTTTGGCGAATCAGCCATGTGCACATGTGGACTGGCACCTGAGAGAACAGATCACATCCTCCAAGACTGTTCGAAATACATTTCCAGGCAAAAGTCTGGCCAAGTGATATACTGGTGGAAACCTAACTTTATGGGCTGTTAAGTGAATTACAAAAGACTGTGAAGTTCATATTAGAGACAGCATTGCAGATATTTATCATTTATTTCAAGTGAATGAAAGAAGAACATTGTGCCTGCAACTAAATTTGTTCTCATGACAGAGTAGAAAAGAAGGCATCAAACAAGAATACAAGGTAGAAGAAACATTACCATAAGGCAGTTCTAGCTGGCATATGCAGCTTTGAGTTAAAATATGCAAAAACAAGTGCAAGACAGACTTCTCTAGCACCAATGAAAAAAATAAGGAAACTAAACCAAAAAAAATGCAAGAAACAAGTGTTCGGTGACAGGACAGTGACACAGTGAGAACTCCTAGTTCAGTGTTCTTCAAAGGTCCAGGTGGGCCGCCAACAATTTCTTCATAATCATATAACAGAGTAGGATGGGTAGTTATTCTCTTCCCGGATTGCAATCTGTAGGATTATCACATCAAGGATGAGAATCTAAAAACGTTGCATCAGATGACACTTGTAACTGATAAACTGATATCCGCATTTGTTTTTGCTTGTTTCTGCCGGGTGGGCCTTGAATGTAAAAAAGGCTGAAGAACACTGTTCTATAGTGATAACAAGTCAATTCATAAATTAAATGTCTTACCTTTTCTTCATTTTCTTGCTTCAGCAGGAGAGAACTTGAACTTTCTCGCTGAAAAGTTTGAAAACTTCTACCTGGTCTACCCGAAACACTTTTATTTGCTTCCTTTTCCAGACGTTCAACTTGTTTCTGCAAGTCAGCCTTTTCCCGCTGGAGCTTATCAACAAGACTACTTTTCATGTCTGCACTATTTCGTTTTCTTTCCGCATCATTGGTCTGGTTTTGCTCTAATCTGTCTACCAACTTCTTCAGACGATCAATTTCAAAGCTGAGCTTGTTCACGTCTGGTACGTTGCCGCGCTCTTCCAAAACTCCAAGCTTCGACCCTAGTCTGTCAACTTCCTTTATCAACTTTGCCATATGATCATAAGATGCTGCTTTTTCTTTCATCAGTTCTGCCTGCCGAGCTTCAGCTAGCTGTAGTTTGTCTTCAGCTCGCTGTTTCTCCTTTTCTACCAATTCCTTCTGTTTCTCCACATTCTTCTTCTCAGTCTCCATCTGTTGAATCTCTACCTTAAGTTTCTGCTCTAACTCTTCCTTCTCTTTTTTCACAAGTTTGAGTTCCTTCTCTAACGAACATCGTTCTTTCTCTGCTGCTTCCATCAAAACCACTTTCATCTTTAACTGAGCAATATCCTCATTGTTGTCAGTGGCAACCTTGCTCTGCACGTCTGCCAGTTTCATCTCTAGGCTTTTCTTGTCAGACATCAGTGACTCATTTGTAACCTTTTCTTTACGGAGGTCCATCTGAAGCTTATCCAGCTTTTCCTCAAGGCTGAGTTTATCTTTTTCTAAGCCAGACAACCTCTCAAGCTGAAATGAATAAAATAATCTTAATCACAAACATGAGCTGGCTTTGTGAGAATGGTATCTGTCAGACAACAGTATTAGCCAATTTAAAACACTTCACAGCTCACAAGACCTTGTATTTTCAACATAAACTGTCCTTTAAAACTATTATGTTATTACTTTTTAGGGCGGTGTAGAGGAGGAAGGTACTGAGCGTGACAATTTAGGGTTACATAGCTAACGCAATCATCAAAAACTGCAGGTTACAACTTTATTTTACCTCCAATGGAGAAATTTATATCACATTACTAAGGACTGGAACCTGGATCTTCCAAATAAAACCATTTTTACTACTTGGTTAGATGCTCCTCATAAGTTATTCTATTCAGGCAACTGGTTGTTTCTAAGAATCCACAACATGGCATTCGGGGCAAAACCCAAGATGTTCCATGCTCCTCAGTAAATGCCGTTTGGTGTAGATAATGATCATTGTAGAAACATACTTCTAATAGATACCTTGGATTCATCCTCTAATACTCGCATCTTTGCTAGAATCACACTTAGATCCATATATCTAAGACAAGAGTAATTTCCATACACTACGGTGAATTCACATGTCGATGCCAACTTTTCACTGAGGCAACCTACTTCACACATTGATATATTCCACTGAGACACCTTATTTCAGATTGTAACATGTCAATAAATATTTGCTGCATTATAAGTACCCCAACTGTTTCAGCCTGGTCGCAGCTCAGATATAAACATTTGTCAGACTTTTTAAAAAAACCTAATTCTTTTCATTGAAGTAGACAATTCACATGGTCTCTCTCAACGCATGGTTCATCTAATCAGCAAAATATCAAAGGCTACCCCAATTTTACTACACTCTGTATTATTGCACCTGGTAGGATACAACAAAATATGACAGGTAATTTCATGTGTGGGTTCAGGAGTCCTATTATAGGGAAAACAAGAACAGACCCACTGCCAACCCAAAAGCATGTCGTAGGAGTTGACTTTCGAAGTTCGGGTGCATCTGCCTGAGAGGCAAGGAACCAGCAGTCTGCATACAAATGAGTTAGATCTGTCAAATGGATGCACACACAACACTCAGGTTCTGAAACAGGAGTGGACGAACAACAAAAACTTTCCGCCAGAGTTTATAGCTGGTGAACAAGTAGAAGAAGAAGAATGACTGGTAATAAATAGTGCAATGTACTGTTTCTGTCACCCATTATTTAAATTCTCTACAGGAAAATATGTTTTGAAAGTCACCAAAGTTGAATAACCAGTCATTTCAAGATTTCTGGGTAGATGAAACTAACCAGGCAGAGAATAAAAAAAAATGGGTTGAGAAAGAAAAAAACTGGGTAGATAAAAAAAAAAAAAAGGAAGAAACACAAGGTAGACAAGAAAATTGGGTAGTGGGAAAAACATGATGGCAGATATAAAAAAAAAACAGGATAAAAAAAAGGTAAAACATAACTAGCAGCAATATAAAGTGTTCACCTTGAGTTCGAGTCGACGGTTCTCCCTCTCCACAGCCAACAGTTTTTCCACTTTAGTCTCCAGCCCATGTCTGTCTTGCTCTGCGACTTCAAGCCTCTTTATCCGCCTCTGAAGCCTCTCTTTCTCTCGCTCTAACAGCAATATTCTGTCATCCAGGCTCTGCTTGTCTCTAAGAGTGCTGGTGTTGCGATGCTCCAGATCGGTATTCTGCTGCTGAAGCCTGGTGATCTGGAAGTTCAGTTCAGCTAAAGATTGTTTCTGCTCGCTGTTCTCTGTTGAACTCTTCTGCAGTGACTCTACCTGAACCTTTACAGAGAGTATCATATACCTTGAAAGTCATGGCAAACAATACAACACCAATTACTGCACGAGATATGCATATAATGTAGCTTCTTTTTCTTCTTATTCTTCTTCTAAGCATTATACAACGCCAATTACTGCACGAGATATGTATATAATGTAGCTTCTTTTTCTTCTTCTTAGCATTATACAACACCAATTACTGCGTGAGATATGCATATAATGTAGCTTCTTATTCTTCTTCTTAGCATTATATAACACCAATTACTGCACGTGATATGCATATAATGTAGCTTCTTCTTAGCATTATACGCCAATTACTGCACGAGATATGCATATAATGTAGCTTCTTCTTTTTCTTCTTCTTAGCATTATACAACACCAATTACTGCATGAGATATGCATATAATGTAGCTTGTTCTTTTTCTTCTTCTTAGCATCATAAACACCAATAACTGCATGAGGTATGCATATAATGTAGCTTCTTATTCTTCTTCTTAGCATTATATAAGACCAATTACTGCATGAGATATGCATATAATGTAGCTTCTTCTTTTTCTTAGCATTATACAACACCAATTACTGCATGAGATATGCATATAATGTAGCGTGTTCTTTTTCTTCTTCTTAGCATCATAAACACCAATAACTGCATGAGGTATGCATATAATGTAGCTTCTTATTCTTCTTCTTAGCATTAAAAAACACCAATTACTGCATGAGATATGCATATAATGTAGCTTCTTCTTTTTCTTAGCATTCACGACCTGTAAACTCCAGTGGAGATTATGGTTGTTCTTATTGCTAACTTCTCGTCCTTTTCAGGATGAAATTTTTCGTTATTTGAAGCCCTACTCTGGCTTTTGCCAGGGGCCGCAATATAGCCTGGCCATAAATATGGCCTAAAGGCTGAACGGGGTTTCTGGGACCTCTCCACGGTGATCCTCACCCACATGGTGGCACATTGTGTCATCGGGTGTTTATCGCTTGTGTGATGTCCTGGTGGGGTAGAAAGTCAGCCAGTCAGTCATGGTTGTTCATTAACTATTGGACTTTGGTCATGTTCCAGAATTTGAGGTTTGTGTGCACCTCTTATTTATCCGTATCAAAGTAAAGTGAAGGTGCCTTTTCTACACCTTTAGGCGTAATGGGAATATAGGGCTAGACCTCTATTTTTATAGACCAATCGGCCCTTGGTGGGGGATGTGGTCAGCATCACGCCGGCTGCTTTTACTTCCGAGAACTGCACCTGGTACCCACACAAGGCTAGGTCGACCTGGGAGTTGAGGTCATTTTTTAAAGGAAATAAAAGCCAGGCTCCGTTAGGACGCAAACCCATGACCTTCCGATCCGCAGGCGGGCGTCTAGCCGGCAACGCCATGGCAACTCCCATATACATAAATATATATATTTACACATATAGCTTATTAATATGCAGATTGCTGGTTTGCTACAGCTCATTAATATGCAGATTGCTGGTTTGCTACAGCTTATTAATATGCAGATTGCTGGTTTGCTACACCTCATTAATATGCAGATTGCTGGTTTGCTACACCTCATTAATATGCAGATTGCTGGTTTGCTACAGCTTATTAATATGCAGATTGCTGGTTTGCTACAGCTCATTAATATGCAGATTGCTGGTTTGCTACAGCTCATTAATATGCAGATTGCTGGTTTGCTACAGCTCATTAATATGCAGATTGCTGGTTTGCTACAGCTCATTAATATGCAGATTGCTGGTTTGCTACAGCTTATTAATATGCAGATTGCTGGTTTGCTATAGCTTATTAATATGCAGATTGCTGGTTTGCTACAGCTTATTAATATGCAGATTGCTGGTTTGCTATAGCTTATTAATATGCAGATTGCTGGTTTGCTACAGCTCATTAATATGCAGATTGCTGGTTTGCTACAGCTTATTAATATGCAGATTGCTGGTTTGCTATAGCTTATTAATATGCAGATTGCTGGTTTGCTGCCTGTTAGACAAATGCACTCAGACTGTGAAGGAAATGCTCCTATTTAGTCACCTTTTAAAACATGCTTGTTAGGGGCAGTAGGTGCATTCTTTGTCCTCCCAAAATGGAGCACTAGAATCCACAAGGGATTCAATATAAACACTAGTTCTCCGAACAGTAAAGTGAAGCACCCTTTTTGGCACCATAGATGCATCAAGCAAGTGATGTTATATGTATATTTTTTTCAGACTAGTCAGCATTCAACAGGCAATGTGGTCAAAATTACACTAATTGCCTTTACCGCCTAAATTAGACTGGGTCAACTGGAGAACTATGGCTGCAACATAAATAATTTGAAATGATATATTCTACTATGTATCTATGGTTGCAACATGACTAGCCTGAAGTTCTACATTCTATTGTCTGTCTATGGCTGCAACACAACTAACCTAAATGTTTACGGTCTTCTTTCGAAGGGGGCAATATTTTTATAATTCAAAGTTCTATATTCTACTGACTATCTATGGCTGCAGCATAACTAACCTGATGTTCTATGTTCTAATGAGTATCTATGGCCTCAACATGACTAGCCTAAAGTTCTACATTCTTCTCTCTGTCTATGGCTGCAACACAACTAACCTACATTTCTACTGTCTTCTTTCAATGGGGGCAATATGACTAATTTGAAGTTCCATGTTCTACTGAGTATCTATGGCTGCAACATGACTAATCTGAAGTTCTATGTTTTACTGTGTATCTATAACTGAAACATGACTAACCTAAGTTCTGCGTTCTACTGTCTGTCTATGACTGAAACATTACTCACCGAAGTTCTCCATCTATTGTCTGTCTATGACTGAAACATTACTCACCGAAGTTCTCCATCTATTGTCTGTCTATGACTGCAACATGACTAACCTGAAGTTCTGTATTCTACTGTGTATCTATGACTGCAACATGACTAACCTGAAGTTCTGTATTCTACTGTGTATCTATGACTGCAACATGACTAACCTTAAGTTCTGTATTCTGCCGTGTATCTATGACTGCAACATGACTAACCTGAAGTTCTTATTCTGCCGTGTATCTATGACTGCAACATGACTAACCTTAAGTTCTGTATTCTGCTGTGTATCTATGACTGCAACATGACTAACCTGAAGTTCTGTATTCTCCTGTGTATCTATGACTGCAACATGACTAACCTGAAGTTCTGTGTTCTACCTTGTATCTATGACTGCAACATGACTAACCTGAAGTTCTGTGTTCTACCTTGTATCTATGACTGCAACATGACTAACCTGAAGTTCTGTGTTCTACCTTGTATCTATGACTGCAACATGACTAACCTGAAGATCTGTGTTCTACCTTGTATCTATGACTGCAACATGACTAACCTGAAGTTCTGTGTTCTACGTGTATCTATGACTGCAACATGACTAACCTGAAGTTCTGTGTTCTACGTGTATTTATGACTGCAACATGACTAACCTGAAGTTCTGTGTTCTACCTTGTATCTATGACTGCAACATGACTAACCTGAAGTTCTGTGTTCTACTGTATTTAACTGCATGACTAACCTGAAGTTCTGTGTTCTACGTGTATTTATGACTGCAACATGACTAACCTGAAGTTCTGTGTTCTACGTGTATTTATGACTGCAACATGACTAACCTGAAGTTCTGTGTTCTACGTGTATTTATGACTGCAGTATGACTAACCTGAAGTTCTGTGTTCTACGTGTATTTATGACTGCAGTATGACTAACCTGAAGATCTGTGTTCCGTTGCTGCAGCTGCTGCAAGTGGGACTGAATGTCTGTGTTTCTTCTTTCCAACTTCTCCATTTCAGCATTTCTGTCATCAAGTAAACTCTGTAGCGAATCCACCTACAACATACACAATCCCAGTGTCTTCATTCAAAATTCCTCAAAAACGTGACACACCTGAGACACCTAGATATGCCAAATACTGTCTGTATTGACCTCTTCTGTGTTGTAGACAGGAGGAGTGTCCTTGAGTCTGGGGATTTCGGGCAGCACGGCTAGTGCTGTCGCCTTGAACTGAACAGGTTAGGATTTTATTATTTGCCTGCGACAGAAGAAAATCGATGGCCTTACCAAGGCATCAAATCTGGGTCTACCCAATGAGTCTAGCATTTGTAGACATTCGACCAGCCGCTCCTCTTAACCAATATGTGATCCTATTTGATTTTTAAAAAAACCCATCATGCTGTATTCATAATTGTTTAGGATGGTGTAGGTATGGGAGGGAGAGGGCTTGAGTGTGAGAATTAATGCCCATTTGGCTAGGGTAGCAGGCATGAACTATACAGGTTAGGATTTTCATTTTTGCCTCCAACACAAAAATTCCATCCCCACATCGAGGTTTCAAATCTGGATCTACCACATAAGAGCTCAGTGTGTTAACCATCTGGGCAGCTGCTCCTTCTCGTATTCAAATGATATCACCCTGTGAAGACTGAATCTAATCACTCCGGGTTGTGTCATGGTCTAATAAATGCCAATATATCATCCTGTCTATAGTGTCCTGTCCTTGAAAAGCATAAAATCCTTTGGTTCTGTGTGTGCCTACAATATGGCCATGATATGAATACAGTAACTAAACAGTGCTTCACAGAATTTCCCCCAAATTTTTTAGTTCTTGCTTTTATAACCCCCAATGGAGTATAGGCCCTCAACCAACTCAAGCCAAGTCTTTCTATCCTTCACTATGCAGCTCTCCCTATGTACCGCCCATTTTTTTAACTTCACTCTCTAGCTCCAATCTCCATGTGTTCTTTTGTCTTCCTTTATTTCTATGCCCCTGTGGGTCCCAGTGCAAAGACTTTCTAGTTATATTGCCCTCAGGTTTTCTCAACGTGTGCCCTATCCAACGCCAGCGTCTTGTCTTCATCTTCTGGTCCACAGTAAAATGGGGTTATTCTTTAAATAGCATTTTTTCAGGGATTTCCCACAGGTTAAAGGCAGATTTTTTTTTTAAGCCTTTTGTTTTGTGAAACGTTTAAGATTCTTGAAAAACTGAAGATATATAATAACCTCTAGGTTATCAGTAAACTTTATAGATGAATCTAGATTGGGAATGTGAAAAAAATAATGTAGAGAGGATAAGAAACATTTTAAATTATAATTATGACATTCACATTTTAGGTGTGCGCAATAAACATATAAACATTTCCCATAAAGCAGTAGTTCTCAACCTTCCTAATGCTGCGACCCTATAATACAGCTGCCTCATGTTGTGGCAACCCCCAAACAATTTTTTTTTTCATAGATTCAATGAATATGTGTTTTCCAATGGTCTTAGGCGACCCCTGTAAAGGATAGTTCGACCCACACACAAAAAAAAGTGACCGGCAGGTTGAGAACCGCTGCCACAAATAATCAGATTCACACGTAAACAAAATGTTCCAACACAGTCTAATATAAAAAAAGCTGTTCAAATTCTGCAGGGATAGAAATAGCAAGCAATAAATAATCTTTAATATTTATTTCCTGGCGAGAAAATAATCCTATTAACCCTTTTGACCTGTGAATACTTAAAAAAAAAAAAGGTGCGTGTGTGCATGCGTCTTGAAAAATGGAAATACTTTTTAAAAATGTAAACAACTATTTGACATGTATTTATTGTGTGTGTGTGTGTGTGCGTGCATGCCTGTATAGTCAATAAATACGAACAATGAAGCATTCAATATAATACGTCAGTGACTCAAAACAATATGTATCAGGTGAATTATGCCGCAACCTTGTGACCTCTTTCAATGAGGCTTACAGGAAATTTTAATATAAACTTGGGAGATAGTGTGTCGACCCGGTGAAACAAGGCAAAGACACTTGTCGGCATGCTGTATATACACGGCAAACAAAGGCACGTCATAACATCCCTAGACTGTAGGACTGTCGCGGGAAATACTCTACAAAATCTTGCACTCGACAAGATTGGGTGAAAATGCTGAATAGTACCATTGACTAATGTTTGCTGGAACTGGATGTACTGGGCCAGTAGAGCCCAAATATCGCGGCCTAGCTGTAAACTACAGCATTAAAAGTCTACAGTTACGGACCAGCAGGGAAATTAAAACCAAAATTTTCAGAATGAGAGCATGCATCTTCCCTGTAGCAACATACGGATGTGACTATCTCGCAGTCATTAGGGGAAAAAATAAGGGCTTTTTAGCTGAAATGCTATAGAAAGATTCTCAGAATATCATGGACAAAGAAGAAAAGAGATACCAACATCCTAAATGACTGAAACATGAATCAAGGAAGGCTGACAAGTAAACAGCATCTTGTTTTGAAAGCTAAAATATTGTGGCCATTTGAAGCACCAAGCAGCTGGGGCAGTTATTTCCAAAGTGTGCGCCGTGGCACAGCAACCTTTTCACAGGAGCCCCCGAGAAATATTGTAAAAGCTTCATAATTTAATTTCACCAAGTATGAATAATCATACTTTTACTTAGGTTAAGGCAGCGTGAAAAAATTTTAATTAAAAAAAGGCGCTGCGACCAAGAAAAGTTTAGGAAGCACTGAGGGGGGGGGGGGGGGGGGGGGATAATAGCAGACGGCATGGTAGCAGGAAATAGGGGCAGGGACTGACCAGCACAATATGGGCACAAGATATAAATGACAACTAGGATAGGAAAGTGCATGAGGTGGGAGAACTGGTGAGAGATGTGGTTTCTTTCAGGCATACAGTAATGAAAGAGACGTTCTGCAAAGGACCTGCTACATGATGATGATAAGCTTTCAACTGCAACACAACATGCCAACAAAATAAACAAAAGATGTGCTAGAATCCTGTCGATATTTATTAATCTGTAATACTTGAAAAAAATAAGAGCACTAAAAGAATAGTCTCTTTCATTTCCTACCTGTGAAGTTAACGCAGCTTCTCTTCTTTCTAATCTCTGCCGATCAGATGTAAGCTTAGCCAGGTCCCCTTCAAGTGACCTAATCTTCTCCTCCGTTGTCTCTATATGAGTATCATAGCGCTTTCTGTCAATTATCAGCAACAAAAATTGTTTTATTATTGTCAATGGAATGCCAGAAACATCTACTTGGTTTTTTGTGGGCCATCAACAACAAAATCTACATGTTAAAAGTATATTCTACAGACAAATAAATTCCTGTCAGAAATTGATGTAATAAAATGTCTTGTGTTCATTTTAATCTTCACGATATTATGAAAAACACTCAAACGTGCTATGATAAAAAAGTGAGACAGGGGCAGGCAGCAAGACGAGGTGATTTGATATCCTTCTCATGGCATGCGAATGTGAAATAGAGGCAGGCAGCAGGATAAGGTGATTTGATATCCTTCATCATGGCATGCGAATGTGAAATAGAGGCAGGAAGCAGGATAAGGTGATTTGATATCCTTCATCATGGCATGTGAATGTGAAATAGAGGCAGGCAGCAGGATAAGGTGATTTGATATCCTTCATCATGGCATGCAAATGTGAAATAGAGGCAGGCAGCAGGATAAGGTGATTTGACATCCTTCATTATGGCATGCGAATGTGAGATAGGCACAGGCAGCAGGGTAAGGTGATTTGATATCCTTCATTATGGCATGCGAATGTGAGATAGAGGCAGGCAGCAGGATAAGGTGATTTGACATCCTTCATCATGGAATGCTATTGTGAGATAGGGGCAGGCAGCAAGATAAGGTGATTAGACATACTTCATCATGGAATGCTATTGTGAGACAGGGGCAGGCAGCAAGATAAGGTGATTTCACATCCTTCATCATAGCATGCAAATGTGAGATATGGATAAGTATGATTTAACACATCAGATGGCAAGACTTAATGATGAAGGTGGTAGTGACAATGATCTCAGATCATTCAGGCAGCCACTTCACTACATATTTTCTGGAAATTGTAAAGGTAATTGGGGGAAGGGGGTGTATGTGTGTGATGGTGAAGGAAACTAGCAACCCACTGTATGCGTGTGTACGTGTGTGTGTGTATACGTACAGACAGAGAAACACCTGAAAGTATTTAAACGCATGTCTGGGTGTTTTATTCAACATCACACATCAATCCATTGATCAAAATCATTATCAACTTCTTTCAACCCTCTTATTTTTCTACATCCTCCTTTTCTTCTTCTCCTCTGGTCCTTTATTCCCAACTGAAGCACAGAACCTCAGCCAACTCGGATCAAGTCATCCATATTTTCAGATCAAGTTGTCCAGTTGGGCGGGAAAGGGGGGGGAGGGGGGGGGGAGGAGAAGGGTGTGTGTGCGTGCGTGCGTGTAAAATGGCCAAGATTATGTGACAGCTTAGCAGTTCAAACCCCAACAAGAGACTTTAAATTGGAACTGGGTTGGTGACACTTCTAAACTATTTACTGTTTTAACTTCATAAGCTGCTGATAGTTTGGTTAATTCTTTGAAACGTGAGTAGCACAGCAAAGACAGCAAACAACATATCAAACAGTAAACATAGTTTTATAGTAATTAAAGCAGCACAGGAAACAACACCACAAGAAACAAAAGAGCATACTTGTAATCTTCAGCAACTTTTCTTTGTTCCTCGAGTTTACGAGTAGCTTCCTCTATTTGACTGGTCTTGTTCAAGGCAGTCTGTTTTGATCTCTCATATTCTTCTCTGAGGGCCAACAGGTCTGTCTCTAGTCCCAGCTTTGACTGTTGCAGTTCCTGAAATAATTTAACACAACTTAGGTCTCCATACATGAATAAAATTAGAAAGAAAGATATAACACTATGCTCCTGCTATAAGACAACTGTCTTGACATCAACCTGGCTGCCACGAGATACGAAGATAAGTGATATTGTGTATTTGTGTAGTATTATCTAATCTATGCATGTGCTGAAGAAGGCTCTATAGCCGCAACGTTCACATTTTGTTTGTGTTTGTTATATTGTGAAACTCGCTGATATACTTTTCCTTGTTTTATATCTTTCCATGCTATAGGACTGAAAATTTGACTATAATATCTGGTTTTGTAAAATACTACAAAAATAGGAGTTTTGGTGAAAAGAATAGACCCATTTCCCCCCTAAAAACATTTTGTAAGCGCTGACTAATTAGGGTATTTCCTTCAAAGTGAGTGCAACTGCCTGACAGGTGAGAAGCCAACAGTCTATATACACATAAGCCAGATCTGTAAAACAGACTTGCACACAAATCTCAATTTCTGGAATGAGACTAAGATCATTCAGAAGTGGACAACCAATCAAAACTGTCTTCTAGAGTTTACAGCCGGTGACGGTGAAGAAGAAGAAATACTGCTATATCTGCATGTCAACTCCCACTGGGGTGGAGACCACCAATTAAAGCCAGGCCTTTCGTGGACTTGTTCATTACCGCTTGGGGTTTCCAGCTATGTTTTATCAGACAAGAGGTAGCTGGTCTCATAACTATCTTCCTATGTTGCCTCATACAACATGTATGAATCGATCAATCCTGAGATTTACAGATCTTAATCTCATGCATATAAGTCTTTAAGATCATGTTCACGCATCATTTCTGCTACACTGCAAAGAAAAGTTGAAGAAACCCACTTCAAGCAGAGAAACTTACATCTTTTTAGTTGACAAATATGAGTGAACGGATAAAGAAATGAAAACAAGAATACAAGAAGAGGAACTCTGATATCACTATAAAGTTTCTCAAGTTAAAAGTAAAACTTGTACCAGAATCATCTGGACAAGACAAGGAGTGAGCTGCATGGGATGGAAGTAGACTAGACTACTTGATCTGAAAATACTGGATGACTTGATCTGAGTTGGCCAAGGTTCTATCCCTCAGTTGGGAATAAAGGACAGGAGAAGAAGAAGAAGAAGAAGAATAAAAAGTCTATGTAGAAAAGTAAGAGGATGAATGGGATTGAGAGAAGTGGACGATGATGATTATGATCAATGAAAAGATGTGTGATTATGAATAAAACACCCAGACATGTGTTTAGCTACCTTCAGGTGTTTCTCTGTGTCTGAGAAAACAGAACTCCTGCGCAGGTAGGTTCTCATTGTCTCCTGCAGTTCTTTGATCACTGCCTTCTGTGTCTGCACTTCCTGCTGGTAACTTGTTACCTGAGACCATTTTATATAAGACCACTGAGATTTAGACACATACATTTGGAGCGGGGAATGGGAAAGAGAGGGAAGAAGAACGAAAAGAGATCGAAGAGGAGAGAGAATGAAGGAAAAGGAGAGGGAGTGAGTGTAGGGAGGAGACACGGAGACAGAAGAGAGAAGGAGAGACAGACAAATAAGAGGAATGGTAGCGTGCACGAGAGAGAGAGAGAGAGAGAGAGAGAGAGAGAGAGAGAGAGAGAGAGTGAGAGAGACAGACAGACAGAGAGAGAGACAAAGAGAGAGAGAGAGAGAGAGTGAGAGAGACAGACAGAGAGAGAGACAAAGAGAGACAGAGATAGACAGAGAGAGGAGAGAGAGAGAGAGACAGAGAGAAGAGAGAGAGATATAGTCAGTCACACACACAATGCATTCACTAAACACTCATGCGTCTATGTAAAAGAATCAATATTATGTTATGGTGTCACAAATGACATCATAATGCGTTCCCATGTGTGCTCAGTCCTACTATGCAGCAGCCACTCCAAGGTAAATCTGCAGATTGTTCCTATTAGGAGTTGGTTATAATTTCTCCTGAAAGGCAGCATAAGCATGCTTTGCCAGGTTTTTCTCCTAGGTCACGTAATCAATGTTCTCTGGTCTAGTCGGCACAGCGCTTTTATGCTGACCTTGCCCAGGTGTGCAGATCCAGGTGAGGGAAGGTGAAGTGCAACTTCCTATGTGTTCTACATATTCAGAGCACACATGTCCTGTTGTGAATAAAAACACTGTACATGAAATTGCCCAATAACTGTAAATGCTTACATTATCCATAAGACTGTCTTTCATCTTGCGACCCATGCCTTCCTTTTGTTTTAGGACGTGGTTGTCAGACTCCAGATTTGAAATCTTCAACATCAGCTCCTCCTCTCTCTTCTGCCATTCATGAGCTCTCTTGGCATATATATCCACAATTTTCTGGAGTTCCTGAATTACAGACAGATAATTGTTATCAGTTATAATGATGGTTGTATGTCAGAGGCAGGCCCCATTTTGTGTTCTAATTACCACAACTATTTCTTGCTGTAGTCAAAAATTTATAATTAAAAAGTATGGTTTATGGTTTATACAACGGATCAGCATCATGGCATGAGGCTAGTAACCCATAAGTGCTTCGTTCTACTTTTAACTCAAACCTGAGTCTAGAGAATGAACTTCATGAGGCATGAACTTCGTAGTACATGCAAGGATAATGAAATACTTTGGATAAATTTTTATCTCCAAATTTTGCCCGGACAGTGCTGTTAGGCTACTCTTTTCAATTTCTTACTGCCTGTGTGCACAACAGTACACACAGGTGTCCGATTTTACTACCCAGAGACTAGGGGAAAATATGAGAAAAATTCCAGCCTTCACCAGATCTTGACCTCATGACAACTCAGCCCCCCCCCCCCCCACCAATTAAAAAGTAATAATACTACAGTCAACAGGTTAATACAACTGTTTCTTACTACAGTCAAAAAGTTTTACATTACTGTTTCTCACTACGGTCCAAAGGTTTAATATAATTTTCTAATACTAATGCCTGAAAGTTTAACATAATTTTCCACTTTAGTCCAAAACTTAATTTTCTTCTATTGTACAACAATTTAATATAATTTTCTACTAGTCTAAAAGATGAATACAATTTAGCTTCACCTACAAGACACAAAAAACATTTCATTTCAGCCACAAGTTAGACATGAATTAAAGTTCAGGTTTCTCAATGCCCCTCCAAGCTGCATACTGGACACTCATAGAGGAAAAACCATCTTCTTATCTTAATCTGATCAATGTACCCACATTTTCTTTTTTACGTAAAGGACCCATTTCACACCAGTGGCATATGAGGCAAATTACTGATGCTGGGCTCAGACTTTATAGACTGACTGGACCCCAGGGCTATGTTGTCAACAATGCATCAGCCACTATACTCCCAGGACTTTACCCGGCACCCATTTTGTGTTAGGTTGACCTAGGAGCCAACATTTTTTTTTTTTCACCATTAGACTCAACATGGATTTGAATCTAAAACCTTTGGGCTGGCAGAGGGGGGGTGGGGGGAGTCTAGCAGCTACACCACTGTGGCTCCACATAACCACATTATACCTAACTTCATTTTGCGGGAAAAATTATGAACTCCAATATTACACACTTTAACTTGATGAATTTAATGTCCCCACATTCTAAGTGCCTACACTCTGATGAATGAAGCTAATGTAAATTAGAGTATTCCAATCCCTGGGGTGTACTGTGTAACTTCTTCTTCTTCTTCATGTTCACCGGCTGTAAACTCCAGCAGACAGTTCTAATTGTTGGTCCACGTCTGTACTTTGTTCTTGTTCCAGAACCTGCGTTTTGTGTGCACAATTAGTTTACAGATCAAGCTTATTTGCATGCAGACTGCTGGTTCTTCGCCTCTCAGGCAGATGGACCTCACTTCCTTTACGCGCTCTGATTTCAAAGGACACCTCCTTAACTGGTTGTCTCTTAAGACATGCTCAGAGAGCAGTGGATCACCTTTCTCCCGCCCTTTCCTAATGCGGTCCTGAAACCCATACAGCGATCTTTGACGAATGAAAGTAAATTAAAGGACCCCTTTCCCTTCCTCAGGGGTATGTTGGATATAAAGTGCTAGCTTCGTATATCTATGGACAACACATGTTCTACATACCTGCAGCTTAGCCAGGGTGTTATTGTCTAGAAACGAGCACCGTCCTGCTCGGAGGGTTACATGCAGGGTGAGTTTTTTGCTTGATGGACACAGTCTATGGTGAAAACTGTCTAGTTCCACCTGAAGAACAATAAAACTGCCTTTGAATAAACAGTCAGTGAAAAGGGATCATCAATCATCCCTGTCTGGTCCGGACTCTAGGTTACTACGTAACCATCAAAGCTCCTCGACTTACGATCGAGTTCCGTTCTGACTAAAATGTTAGTTGAATTTATGTTTTCTCAACACTATTTATTTAAATGGGTTCCAAAAGGTGTACACAAAACAAAAATTCCTGCATGTATAATTACTGTACATAATTGGAAAAATACATAATATGTACTCTATTGTATGTACTGTAAACAAACATACAACCTGAAATTACTATTTGTAAATTTTTTTTTTTTTTTTTTTTTTTGGTGTGGTCGTAAGCGTGAATGGTTGGAAGTCGCACAGGTCATAAGTCGAGGACAAGGTGTATAAGAGGGTGAACAGGGTTTCCAGGATTTGTACCTGTTTGATTCTCATCTTTGGGGTGTTAAATCCTACAGACTGCCATCCTCAAGATTGCCAATCACATCTGTCTAATTCAGCTTCATGCAGCAGGTTCCTTGCTCGCTTCGCTGCATGTCAAAAGGCCACCTGGTTCCTTCCCAACTGTCCTACCTTGTCAACTCTCATGCTCAGAGTGTCCTAGAGGTCCTGAATCCATGCGACCCATGCCTCGTCTCCCAGGAATTGCATCATCCATTACTGTTCTCTGTAAATCACTATGATGCTGAATATGGCCAAAGTATTTCAGTTCACGAAGGAAGGATACTGTATATGGGACAGCATCCTTCAATATTCAGATCATGAAGAATGTCATTCTTCTTTTTCATGTTCACTGGATAAAAACTCCGGCAGAAGAAAGTTCTGGTTGTTTGTGGTCTTAAGTCTTGTTCCAGAACCTGAGTGTAGCATGCACATCCATTTAACAGATCTGACTTAATTGTATTCAGATTGTTGGTTCCTTGCCTTTCAGGCAGATGCACTCCAACTTTGAAGAAAGCCACCAATAGGTCGACTCTTACGACATGTTTGTTGGGCAGGCAGAGGGTCTATTCTTGTTTTCCCAATGGGGCCCCGGAACCCACATGTAGAAGAATGTAATTATTTGTTTTCTCCTTGATCAATGATTTATGATATCTCTGTTGAACTGATCAGAGCTGCAAAAGATGCTGGGAGTAGACTGGTTGCACCTATTTTTCCCTTGAGATAAAAGGAGAAGGACTCAGAACCTTACTTTCGAAGCAAATAACGCTAAAATTATGGGACATTCAACGGAATATGTTCCTCTGGGCCTCACAAATAAATATGCCTGGTGACTCATACCAATACATTGAATCAGAAGGCTTACAAAAATATTTAACTTCAACTTGGCTTTAAAAAAAAAACCATCTGGTTTGAAGAAAAAGTTAATAAATAACAATTTGAAAGAAAAAAAATTTTAATTTCATAACTGTCTGTATTTACAACTTTTGTCGTTTACACAGTCCTTGAGGCTGTGGATTTAGGGTCGCCATCACTGAGGCTTACAGAAAAGCCTGACGTCAACGTAGTTTTAAAAAAAAATAAACACTAAAAGACCACCCCCAAATGCCACTGATAATGAATATATTCACATCTTGACCTCATAAACATTTTCACAGGCGTGAACACAACCAGTAGCATTAGGTATACGTCTCTTGAACAGGTCACTATAGATAAGTCGGAAAAGTGACGTCAGCTAGAAATTGGCCCTAACTGGAAGTGTCAGTTTTGTGGCTTTTTGGGGCGACAAGGTTAACAAACACAAAAAAGACAAACTATGCCAATTATAAAAGTCACCTTTGCCTGGCCAGTGCCTCCTGACACTACAACATCAGTCTTGAAAGTTGAGGACAGCTCGGACAATGAAGTGTTTATTTTGTGTTCTAGCTGCTCAACTTCTGTTGCCTGTCTCTCTTCGCTGTCCTCGTAAGCCTCTACGAGCTCCTCCAGCTCCCGCACCCGACTGTTGAGCTCGGTGATGAGGGCTTGCTTCTCTTCCAGCAGGCTTTCCCAGGTTTCACTGCGAAGTTCAAGAAGCATCAGATCTTTGCGCTGATCATCTCGGGATTTTCGTTTCTCTCTGTCCAGTTTCATTTGTTGCAGCTGCCAAAAGATATTCTTATTATAGTATATGATTCAATGACAGATAAAATTGTATGGAATGAGACAGTCAGACATCAACAATGTGATTCAATCAGTTACAGACATCACTGTACGATTCAATCAATTATAGACATCCTCATGTGATTCCAGACATCAGCATGTGATTAGCAAATTGCAGACATCATACACAGATATCAAAGTGTGATTTTATTAGTCATTCATAGATTTAGCAATCATGCTTAAACATATCATTTAAAAAGTCAAGTTGCCAGAATATCAGATACAACAACTACATAATTCAGCACACCATTCAAAAAGTAACGCTGCCAGATAATCAGATACAACCAACTACAGAATTCAACACAACATTCAAAAAGTCACACTGCCAGATAATCAGATACAACAACTCCTGAATTCAGCACAACATTCAATAAGTCATGCTCCCAGATAATCAGATACAACCAACTACAGAGTTCAACACGTCATCGAATTAATTATTAAATAGCAGGTAATCTTTCTTTTCCTGCCACTACTGTATGTATTTACTTTTCTGGTGGAGTCAGGAGTGTCTCTGAGTGTAAGGATATAGGGCTGCATGGCTGGTGCTGTTGCTATGGACTGTGCTGGTTGGGATTCTATTTTCTACCATAACAGAAAGAAAAGCCCATAACCGCTGCCAAGGATTAGAACCTGGTTCTGCCTCATTTCAGACCAGCATCTTAACCATTCACTAATCTGTTTCTTCACTGTACGCCTAAAAAGAGCAGTTGGCATAGTGTATTGTGGTTTACAGCTAGGCTGTGATATCTGCATCTTTAAGCACAACACACTCAATTTCAGCATACATGACATGCTTGTTATGGAGGGCAGTGACAGGTCATGGTCTCCCCCCCCCCCTTCCAACAAAAAGGTCCCGGAACCCATATGTAGAAGTAAAAGTAAAAGCAAAGGACCCTTTTCAACGCCTTCAGGCATACTGGGCTAGACCTATATTGTATAAACAATCAGCACTTGGTGGATGATGTGGTCAAACTCACGCCGGCCACCTTTACTTTCCAGGACTGCATCTGGTACCCACTCAAGGCTGGGTCGATCTGGGAACCAAGGTCACTTTTGAAGAAAGCCAGGTTCCTTCAGGACCTGGACCAACAACCTTCCGATCGGCAGGCAAGCGTCTAGTCGTTATACCCCATGGAGAATTCAACTAGAGACAAGAAAAATGTTCCTCACCTGTAGTTTATGAGTAGTCTCCTCCAGGGCAGCATTTGCTTTACTAAGTTCTTGTTCTTTGCCTCTCAGCTGGGACGAGAGCTTTTCCAGCTCTGTCTCCAGAAGTACTATCTCTCCTTTCATCTCCTCCAGCTTCACTTCTAGTAATTCATCCTCTGCGTGTGTGTTTTATTTAGGGGAGGGAGAGAGAAATTCAGTACGATTACTAAATAAATCCCAGTAAATCCAAAAATGAGGAAAAGATAGTGGCACTAAACATTACACACACTGATAAAACCTGAAAACAATATAACTAAAATGACTTTTGCACTGGAACCCACAGTATCAAAGGACTGAAGGCAGACCCACACACACACACAAATAATAAAGAGAAGGGAATTACAGAAAGTGAAGTTAAAAAGACGGATACGGTAGGCTACATACAATAGCAAATTACTGAACCACTTGGCTTGAGTTGGCTAAGGGCCTATGCCCCACTGGGAAAATGAATGAATGAAAATTAACAAGAGGACATTCCCGCACGCACTGAGGGTTAAAAGGTAGTAAAGAAGAGAAAATAGTTTTAAACAAAGTTAATATTATACTGTTAAAGAATGTGTGTGTTTTCAAGTGTGCCTGCATGCATGCATCTTCATCATCATCATCAGGTGCCTTGCCGACTGGCGAAGGCAATCATGCCTCTCCATAATCTGCGATCTCCTGCAGCATGTATCAGTTCCTGTGCCGACACACCTCCATGTTCTATTTTCCCTCTTCTCATAACATGGCCCAAAAAATGATGACTGTCTCCTTCTCATGTCTGTGATAAGTTGTCTTCAGCTCCTGCCTCTTTCAAAACCTCTTGGTTGCTATTTCGTAACCATGCCTTAAAACATTACGAATGCATTAAATTAAAGATGGGGGAGCTAGACACTGAAAACAACAAGCACTGTATTTTAAATGTGTGTGTTCTAGGGTGTCGTGTTTAAAAAGGTGGGGAAATTTAGGGGGGGGGGGGGGGGGGGGGTGATAAAAGGCGACTAATTCAGGGTTTGCCAGTTTGCTTAAAACATAAACAGACGCAGATGACAACACTGTAGATGACAACACAAGGTGTAAACTGCCCCTTTACAGAACATGACAGAAGAAAAAGAGGTATATACAACACAGACGATATCAAACAACATCCAGGCTTACCAAAATTGCGAATCTCCGAATTCATGGCACTTAGATTGTTAAGCAAGGTCACTGAATTCGTCTCAACCTCATTCCAATTCTTTCTTTCGACCTCTAAAAGACGTTTTAGATGTCTAATTTCCTCATCCTTCTCTGTCAATAACTGCAAGGCATGACTGCTCATTGCTGTCAATGCAGAGCCGGATCTTTCACTTTGTGTGCATCTCTCCATGGCTGCAACATGGCTGCTGTTATTGCAGTCTGTGTTGCTGGACACATCCTGCTGATCTGGTGGTGCTTTCGCTTTCTGCAGCTTGCTGAATGTAAAGCCGACGAATGGCAGATCACAACCGGAAAAATCTTTCTGTGGTTTGAGGGCTGCAGTGTTTGGCTGCTGGCGGACCTTCTCCACCTCATCGAAATGAGATGTGTCATCCAGGCCACTGATTGATGGGACATAGCAAGCATCACCTGGGGACAGAAACAAGAAGATACTGAAACACAACATAGCCACTCTATATGTATATGTTGGTGTCTTTAGCTTATGGCAAGATGAATACTGCCGTAGGTGTAGGTGTTTGTGACATTATCTTAAGCCTCAAGATTTCCCTGTCTTACAACGACCTAAAAATGGTATATATGAAGTGATGACAGTTATTTTAAATGGTCACAATAAATTCAGCCTGTAGCAAGTATAGATAACACCACATTTATAAATGTTGATCACAAGAAGCACTTGTGTCAAGCTATGTTTTGTACTAAATACAATATAAAATGTGACTGGAAAGCTCAATGGAGGGAATTGAAAAAGTGCATACAAATACAACCAAACGTTTCGACCAAAATCGTTATCAACGAAGTATTAAACACAACACACAAACTGTGACTGGAAAACTCAACAGACAAGACAACAGAGCTAATAAAAGACCAAAGGTCAACAGAAAATCAAGAAGTATGTAATGGGGGGAGGGGGGAGAGAAAATGAATATGAAGGGCTATAATAAGAAACGAAATAAGTAAAACACTGTATGTAAAAAGAAGGGGAGAAATATGAATAAGTTAAGGAAAAGCACAAGTTAATAAACAAAACTAAATAAAGCTGCATTGAATATTGACCCTCCAGGACTAAGAATGGAAAAACTATAAATGAAACAATTTTCTAGACAGTAGCGGCTGGTTTCATCACCGGAGCTAGATTTAATGAAATGAAAGGAGACAGGTTTTAGAGCCTTATTATAAATATCCGCTAGATATTCACTGAAGCGATCTGCTAGTTTTCTACTGGTTTCCCCAATATATGCTTTTCAACGTGATTTACAAGTAAATGCATCTCTAATTTGAAACAAACCCTTCAGGAAGCAGACTAAAGAGATTTGGATGACAAATAGACATGTTTTACATCTTGCCCGGGAGCATTTGGAAGTACTGTGTGGATCGGAGGCGGTCTGCTTCTGACAAGTATAATCTTAAGATTAAGGCCTCGCCACTATAGGGTTGGCACTGAAGATCTGGTGGGTGTCAGGGTCAGAGAGAAGAATATTTAGGTGATGATGGAAGATTCTAGAAACTGCCAAATTATTAGGGTGCTATGTTAAGATCAATTTAGGCCTATCAGGGAGGTTTAGGTTTAGGGGGCAATACTCTCTGAGTGATAGATTGTACTTTATAAAGATCTTTTTTAAAGAGATTTAAGTATGACCCACTTCTTATTCATCTGTGTGTAAACTCCAGCAGAAAGTTCTGGTTGTTCATCTCCTTTAGGACTTTTGTCTTGTTCAAGAATTTGAGTTCTGAGCACACATTTGCTTCAGATCTCAATTAATTGTGCTGATTCCTCATCACATTTTACGAAGCAGCAAAGCACTTGTTAGGGGGACAGTGAGTTTATTCCCCCCCCCCCCCAAATTGGGAGCGGAACCCACACGGGTAGACTCTTCTAATCACTTAATAAAGCTTTTGTATCCTTAACAGGACATTACAGAACCAACACCAGCATTTTTTGTGGTTTTTCAAGGCACATTCACACCCAGTAGTTTGCCATTGTTTTCTGAGCAATCAGCTCTCGGTACCACTGTCAAAACCAACGCAAGACAATTTACTGCCAAACTGCCTGCAGCTGGGATTAAACCTGGCACTCCGGCATTACAAAGCGTGTTTGTAATGCCTAAGCCACAGAAATTCTAATCACATACCTTTTCTTATAGTATTCCAGGAGATATCTGAGAAGAATGGATGTGCCTGAATGTCTGGCCAACTTAGCCTGTCCTCGGAGTTGGTCAGCAGTTTCTTGATGAAGTCCCTGGCTTCAGGTGAGACATCACTGTCAACAGGAAACTTCAGAGCTTTCTGAAACATCATACATATTTGTGTGCTGAATACAGACATGCATGTATGTTGACAAGGTATGTTTTAAGAAGCAAAGAACAGTAATACTTACCCACCAAGCATGTAATGAGAGGAGTCTAATGCAGATTTAGGCTACCCTATTCAGTAAAAAAAAAAACAAATAGCTGCAGAATCCAACCAATAAAGCTGAGATAAAAGGATGTCCATCTAATAGTAGGACATGATGTAGCTATAAGGAGTCTGGATCAACCAACTTATCTCACTACACCTAAGAAAACCTCCAGAATGTTTTTTGTTTTTGCAAGCCAAAACTTCAACGATCTAGGAGTTCGTGTAGAAGGTGCTTTTTGTCTGCAGCTACTATGGGACATGACCTCACCAGCAACACCGTTTAGCCTGTCTGCAACAGCTGACAATATAAGGGCAACTGTACGCACACAACTGCGGTGTCTCATAGTTCGTGGACCCCACTGGGAAAGAGGAGGAAAGACAAATAGATTAAGTGCCTACATAAGAAGCAAGTCAAAAAAAAGTGAATAATTAGGGGTGTTTTCTTCACAGTCGAAGTGGATCTGCCTGAGAGGTGAGGAGCCAAAAGTCTGCATAAGCTAGATTTGTCAAACAGATGTACATGCAAAGCTCAAGCTGGGAAATAAAATCAAAGACCAGAAGTGGATGAACAACCAGAACTTTCTGTTGGGAGTTTAAAACTGGTGAAGAAGAAAAAGCAGGAGTAGGAGACTAGCTGACCTGTTAACAAAGTGAGCCCAGTTCATAATCTATCATTTATATGATCATGTGCTGACAAAGTGTCAAAAGTGCTCCTATTCTGGTTAATGTTATAAGTTTTAATATTATTTTTAGAACTGTACAAATGAATGTTATAAATATTTATATTAGCCGTGTGAAATTTATAAACAAATGGTGGCATATATATATATATATTCATATATACATACACACACATCTTGTGTGCTCGTGCATGTGAGTTTATATTATGAATGTTTTTCGTTACACGCTCCTGGCATCTTTCACATTTGGCATACATTATCATACATTATGCATTAAGTTTCAGCTTTCAATCAGACTGAGAGAGGGTGTTTCTGCTTTTGTACATCCAAGGAAGGTAACTGCATGTGCACATTTTCAGCATGGCAGTAATACTTGCATCTTCTGGCCATCACAAACAATTTGTTCAGGCATTTGTTGCACAGGGCTGTCCCTATTCTCACAGACCTACCTCTAACAAATCACAGACCACAGAGTTTGACGTTTAAATGTTATTCTCACCTTATAATCCATAATATTGGCATAAGTGGACACTTTAGACGAGTCGTCGTCAGTAAATGGGGTTCTGCCAAACAGCATCTCAAATGCACACACTCCGAGGGACCACCAATCGATCTCTGTCCCATAGCTGAACTGGCTGTGAGATTTATTCATAGCTAGAAGCAGCTCTGGAGCAACATAATCCGGTGTACCAACTGGTATATGGGCTGAAACCTAAACAGAAATTTACAAACAAGGGAACAAGATGGTGAGAACCAAAAAAAGTCTGCTATTCCACAAACTTGGAGGGGGGAGGGGGTGTTGTGTAAATAATGCTAGTGCCATTTTTAGTAAGAAACTAATCAGTACTCGATCAGTGATGTGGTCAATGGCATGTCTTTCTTCTTCTTCCCTTCCATTTGCCGTTTTGGGTGTCAAGGGAGATATAAGGTTCTGCTTCTTCTTCTTCTGGCTGCTTCAACCACAAACACTCTGTACTGATGTAGAGTTTCTCTGATGTTATAATTTCAAATTGTTTTTGGTCTACCTCATGTTCTACAGTCGGCATCTGTAGCTTAGGTGTTGTGAACGTGCTTTGTAATGCCACGGGCCATGTTCAACAGCTGCAGACGTTTGTCTGGCGTTGGTTTTGACTGTGGTCCCGAAAGCTGACTGCTGAGAAGCAATGGCAAACTACTGAATGTAAAATTTGCTGCAACGTCCTGTAAAGGATACGCAGCTAACATGCTCTTCATCCCTCTTCTTTTTAGGCATATGCCTTTGTGGTACAGTTGTAAAGCATTCTCTCTAAGTCGTCAAACTTTTTATTCGCTATCTTTGTAAAAAAAAAAATATTGGTTCTATGCCAATTTCTCTTGTGACTTTAATTCTGATTTTATCTCGGATCACTCATGACGTCCTTCTCAGACATCTCCTTTCCAAGGTTACTAATTTTATTTAATGCCATCTCAACTTTTCAGACTTGTCTGCTGGCCCAAAGGTATGGAGCTCAAATTCACATCAAGTAGAATTTGTTTTTCCAAATTGACCTTGGCTCCCAGGTCGATCCGGTCTAAACAGGTAACTGGTAATGTCCTGGGAAGTAAAAGCAGCCGGTCTGATGTTGACCACACCGGCCACTCAATGCCAGTTGTTCTTTACAAATATGAATCTAGCATCATATGCCCAATATGCCCCTATTGTGAACAACATTTTTTTCAAGTTTACTTTTTGTGTTCAGGCAAAACTGCTGCCACTGTGGCTCCCAGAGTTTTCTTCTTCTTGTCATTAAACGGCTGTAACTCCTGCAATGTCCTGGGTTGTTCAGCACCTCTGGCTTGAGACTTGACCAGAACCTCAGTGTTGCGTGCACATCCATACTGCAGATATGACTTATTTGTATGCAGACTTGCGGTCCCTTGCCTCTCAAGCAGATGTACTTCAACGGATGTCCCTAATTAGTCGACTCATATGACACGCTTGTTTTTTCAAACTCGTTGCTTTACTTTGCCCTGGAACCAGCAGGGCACAACTGCTAACTGTCAACTGTACAAGAATGTTTACCTACTTTATTGACACCACTGTCTGGGGGAGATGTAAGTATGTCAAGATAATTAGCATCCTTGACCTCTGACTTCTGCTAGGGAAGAGCAAGCATTTAGGGTTTGACCTAAGAGCTGCTGAGATTTATTCTTGATCAGAATCATAATTATGCGTGACACCATAAATATATACAGCTAACCCTCAGGATATGAGTTACCTAGATATAAGTTTTTCAGGATATAGGTCAGATTCACTCATACCAAAAAAAAAAAATCTGCCCCTATGAGAGGCAAAATTTAGAATGCCCTAATTAGAACTCTCAGCACTCATACAACAACGCATCTGTTGGGACTTTTGGCATGATACTGGGTCTGCCAGTGCTTTCCCACATGCTGGGAGAGATGGAACTCACCCCACAGGGACAACATGGAATTTTAATGACTTTTGACGTGAACCTAATCTGTCACACCCAGATACAAGAATGTTTACATTGTAAACTGTAGAAACGTATGATCGCCTATGCCTGGTGACAAGACACCTGATAATGATAAACTGTAAAACCTACGAAAAAAGAACCCTACAGACCAGAACTTACAAGCAAAAAAGAGACTGTGAAAAAAGGTAAGAAGAAATACTACTACTTCATTCACCCTCAAAAGGGCGGTAGGGATGTGGCTCACAGCTAGGCTGCAATATTTGCAAATTCAGTCCAACATTTCCAATTTAAGCAAACTCATAATTAGTTTTCTTTTACGACATGCCTGTTGAGGGGCCATGGGTCTTCATAGATTTCCCCCCAAACTGAGGCCCCTGTCACCCACACAGGGAAGAAAGGAATACTTACTTTCCCAGATGCATCCAATCTAGCTGCAGATCCAAAGTCAGCAAGCTTGATATGACCCATGTAGTCCAACAGTATGTTCTCTGGTTTGATGTCCCTGTATAGATAATAAAAAAAACATTCACATTATTTAAAACAGAAAACAAAAGCATTATTCCAACAACAAAAATGTAGAAGCCAATTATTCCAAACAAACCAAAATGGCACCATTTCAAGCAAACAAAAATTGAACTCTTTCAAACAAGTAAAGGCTCTTCTGTCAACTTAGGCCGTTAGCTGGAGAGCCGCCGATCGCTTAGTGGGAGTTCTCTCCCTTGGCTGCATTGCGAACACGGAGCGGAAAAGTCACGAATCAAAAAAGGCAGTGAGGTCGACAACAGGGCTGCCAATGCTTGGGTGTCTCTCCCAGATCTGGCTGTTTATTTGACGTTTCGGGGAAATCTGGGGCGTTTTTTAAAGTAAATATATCCTTATATAACAGTGGTATTAGTTGCCACGAATGTGACTCCTGCAGATCTGTATGACTTAATGACCGCCGACACATTTGCGTGGTTAGGGGTAGAGGTAGGGTTAGATGTGACAATTTTGACGCAGGAGTTCCAAATAATCGCGCAGTCACATACACCAAAACAATCGAAGGACTGTGGATGCTACTCAAACGGACAATTCGCCACCCATGGGGCACCAGCCGCGCGCTATTGCCGTCATATTTGGGAGAATTCCAGTGGCGCCACTCCCACAAGCATCAGATTGTCGGCCAGTATTTAGAACTCCTACGTCAAAATTGTCACATCTAACCCTACCCCTAACCCTTACAAAATTTGTAACGTAGGGATTAAACGCAAACCTTTCATTTATATGCGGATATGGTATCAACTACTCTACACATTTACATGACAAAATTATATAAAAACATGCTCACCAACAGACAGATATATGCCACACCAAAAAACACTAGAAGAGAAAGACAGTAACAGCACACTTGCACCCCTGGAAAAAGTGGACTGTCCAGTCAGCTGTGGAATTCCCACGAATTTCCTGTTTGAAGGTACGTAAAAAATATTGTACCTTACTTCACACTCATTTTAGGCTGGGTCGGAGCCAACATCAGTTTTGGAGAGGAAACAAAAATATGCTCAGTGCAATTTTGAAACTTATATCTTTGAGCTGCCAGGCTAGTGTAGCCATTAGAGGTGACCCAATTGTAATTTCTTTAAAGGCACTGTTCATCTGCCATCTAGAGTGAGATCAGGAAATCTCTGTGTGTCAAACTTTCAGGTAGCAGTCTAGAAAGACACAACGGACACAGAGACAAAATGTTTACCTGTGAATGTAGCCCATTGTATGAAGACTGTTGATAGCCAGGGCCATTTCTGCAACGTAGAACTTTGCCATCTGTTCATCAAATATGTCGTCATGCCTGAAGACGGTAAACACAATACTAGATCTTCCATAGTCAGACTGCATACGGAACTTATTCTATCTTCCACCTCCACCCCCTTTTGGTGGATGTTTTGTGATGAAGAAACTAAAGTCATTAGACCTCCAATCTCAACGGTAACAACAGACCTCAACAGTTTCATTAAATCACCTCAACAATAACAACAGACCCCAAAGCTTCATGAACTCACCTTCTCAGCAATTATAACTGAACCCAAAGCCTCATGAACTCACCTTCTCAGCAATGACAATTGAACCCAAAGCTTCATGAACTCACCTTCTCAGCAATGACAACAGACCTCAACAGTTTCATTAAATCACCTCAACAATAACAACAGACCCCAAAGCTTCATGAACTCACCTTCTCAGCAATTATAACTGAACCCAAAGCCTCATGAACTCACCTTCTCAGCAATGACAATTGAACCCAAAGCTTCATGAACTCACCTTCTCAGCAATGACAACAGACCTCAACAGTTTCATTAAATCACATTCAAACAATGACAACAGACCCCAAAGCTTCATGAACTCACCTTCTCAGCAATTATAACTGAACCCAAAGCCTCATGAACTCACCTTCTCAGCAATGACAATTGAACCCAAAGCTTCATGAACTCACCTTCTCAGCAATGACAACAGACCTCAACAGTTTAATTAACTCACCTCAGCAATGACAACAGACCCCAAAAGTTTCATGTACTCTCATTCTCAACAGTGACAACAGACCCTAAAAGTTTCATGAATTTTTCTCAGCAATGATGACAAAACCTCAAACATTTCATGATTTCCCCTCTCAATAATAACAACAGACACCATAACTTCATGAATCCATCTCAAAAGGGACAAAGATTCCCTGAGTTTAAAGAACTCACTGTCTAACATTGGCAACATAAGTTTGACGCATTCACCTCCTCAACAGTAGCAACATGAGTTTGATTCATTCACCTCCCCAACAGTAGGGCTTTTTTCCAAACACACACACAAAAGTGACAGTGCTCATCACAAATTGTCTACAAAAGTACCAATACTCACCACAAAGCTGGCCAAGTGGTTACAACTTCTGGCTGGCCCTCAAGCAGGAGACCCAGGTCTGACACCCCCCCCCCCCCCCCCCCAAGGTGATGGAGTTTTTCTGTTGGGGGCAGAATTAAACAACATAACCTTCACAGTCCGTGCTGACAGCACTAGCATTGCAGCACTAAATCCACAAGCTCATTACCACGTCTAAACCGCCCTAAAAATGTGGTAAAACAGACAGAAGTGAGAGTTGGTTTTTTTTTTTTTAATTAACCATTAGTAAACAAAAGAAATCAACAACATATGTTTTTCATGAACTTACCTTCTCAACAACGACAACAGATCCCCTCCAACATGAAAGTCCATCACAAGGTACAGATTTACTGAATCTTGAAAAGCATAGTGTAGTCTTGTGATCCAGTCACTGTTTGCATCAGCCATGATGTCTCTTTCTTCTTCATAAAAGGAAATCTGTGTCAGCAGAAATGTGACAACATATAAACAAATAAATTTATAGAAGCATTTAATTAATTGTCACCTACTTTTCAGAATGCGAAAGATAAAATTCTGAGAGAAAAAAATTCACTGAAACAGTTTTTCTAGTCAAGTACAAGATATCCTATGGAAATAGTCAAGTCTTAGACAGATATGACTGAACTACTGTTTAACAGTAGTTGGTGCTTCCTGTTTTCAATTAAATCACGACCACACAATCACTGTCAACCTGTCTATGGCAGCAACTCCCTTTCAAGAACACAAAAATTCACAACCAAACTAGGGCAGCAATTACTGTTCAACAACAAAAGCACTCACAATCACTACCGAGCTCAGGCTGTGGCAGCAACTCCTGTTCAAGAATACAAACACACTATCACTACCAACATCTGTCTGTAGCAGCAACTCCCGTTCAAGAACACAAACACACAATCACTACTAACATCTGTCTGTAGCAGCAACTATCAATCAATAACACAATACACAAACACTTATCAACTGCTGACTGTGTCAGCAAGCCCAGTCAACAATGCAAGACAGACAATCACAACTATACAAACATTACCAACCTCTGACTGTGTCAGCTACTACCATCTAACAACAAAAGATACACAACTATACAAACACTACCAACCTCTGACATTGACAACAACTCCCGTCCAACAACAAAACAATCGCAACTATACAAACACTACTAACCTCTACCTGTGACAGCAACTCCCATGCAACAACAAAACATTCACAACTATACAAAAACTACCAACCTCTGCCTATGACAGCAACTCCCATCCAACAATACAAACACTACCAACCTCTGGCTGTGACAGTAACTCTCATGCAATAACAAAACATTCACAACTATACAAACACTACCAACCTCTGGCTGTGAAAGTAACTCTGCCTTGCGCAGGACCTTCATGGCGTAGATGTCACCCGTTGAATTTTCACTCACAACTCGCACCTCTCCAAAATGTCCTCGTCCAATGACAGCTTTTACTTCAAAATCAGAGGCCTTCATTCTGTCTGCCTTTGCAGCATTGACTGCTTTATTATCTACAAAAAATGTTTCAGTAGTTAAATTGGGACAAGAATAAAATAGATATGTGATCTCATTGCTGTGCTGTAAGGTAAACAGAGAAGGATATTACTCCATGGCAAGTGGCAGCCATAGCCCTGCAGACAGTCAAGGATCCTATTTGGCTCCCATCTCTTTACCTAGCTCATGAATGGTTCCATAAACACTACTTGTGTTGTTGTTGTCCGTATATAACAGGTGATGATGACCAGTCCTTTCATCCATTGGTGACTAGATTAGGTTTAGGGATAGATGAAAGGATGACTTGTGCTGTAAATTTTGATTTAACAAAGAGTTGCGTAGTTTGTCGACCTCACTCTCTCGCCCAAGTCCATTTAAATTTAAGTCCGGTGGCAAGACAAATCAAGAAGTCTGGAGATGAACTTGAGTGCAGTGGATGATCAGGGCTTCTAAGGTGTCTGTGTTGTGCTCAAGCCTCTCCACAGAGGTTGATGGTAGTCGCCTTTGTGTCGCTGAACCAAGGTGGTTTCATTAACAGTCTACAGAATCCAGACTCTGCATGCTAGATAGGCATTGCCCAACTAACCGATTAGTTTGGGCTGATGGGCTACCCTCTCCTGGTTTAGCCAGCCCATCAAAGCAGGGGGTGGCCGCTGTCGCATGCTAACAGCTACTAGGACTAGGAGAGAGCTGGATGTCACCACTGGTCCAATGGTTGGTGAACTACTGCTTGTGTACAGTGATGACCACACCATGTGCAACAGTCTTGGCTGACTGGCTTAACTACATGAGTGAATAAAGTAAAATTCTACTATAAGGGTATGGCTGTCTCTAGTACACAAAAAGACTGGGACGATGAACAGTGTAGAAGAATCAATATGGATAAACAGCGTGTAAAGCACAACAGCCAAGTGTGTGGTAGGAGGCATGTTTGGGACACACCAGAGAACATATGTGGCCATTTTGGAAGAGACTGGGACCACATCATTAGCACACTTAAGTTAGCAATGGAAATACAACGAAATGTGTTGGAGATCCACTGCAGCCAGCCTTGACTGTGGAGATGGCACCTGAATATGATTTGATATAGTGAAGTGCCAGCTTCACTGCACATGAATATTCTAGTATCTGCTTTAGCCATTAGTAAACAACAGTCAGTCCCTAGGGACTATGCAGTTGTGACAGTTTTCTCGGACTGTGAAGATCAATACAGGAGTAAAGTTTCTGCCATTTAGCTCACATAAAAATTTTGATACTCTATTACACTGAGGCTGGTTTTCTGCTATGGACTGCATAAAGAGAATTTTACCACAGTCCACAAACTACATCAAAGCTATCCGCTAATAACTGTGACACAATATGGCGACTGCATGTTGTCCTCGCAATAAATGTACACACATAACCTAACAGGTTCTGATGTCCTTGCCCAATGTCACATCCCTAGGATCATTGCTGGTGCCAGAGTTACATGCATAGTGCTGAGATTCTTGTGAGCAACATTCTCTTATGTTTATCTTACAAAATGGCTCATGACCCACTGGTGCTTCGGAAATTATGGTCAACGAAAGGCATGGGGAAAAGAAGAAGGTATCAAATATCACACAAAAGCACAGCAGTCATTACAACAACCTATAGATAACGGTAGTCATCATCGTCAGCGTAAACAATATAAAGAACATGTTTAAGAGAAAGACTGGAACACATGTGAGTATGCCCAACAGCAACGAAGATGATCCTGCAATGAACAATGTCACATCAATATGACCATTTGCACAAATATCCCAGGGGTAGGGAGGAAAACTTAATATAACTACCTGAAGCTGAAAGTGTTGATTAAGGATAAATCTCAAATACAGCAGATTAATCAGAACAAGGGATAAACATGAGGAGAGATGCTGAAATCTTCATAATACAAGTCAACCCTGACAACATCTGATAGGTTGTTCAAACTGGAAAGTTATCCATCTTCAAAGAAAAATACGGTGCATCAAAAGTCTTCACAACCTCAGAAAAAAATCAACATAAATCATCGTTTTGAGTTTCAGGTTGACCTAATATAACTTTTCAATTTACTAGTAAATAAATAGTATTCTTTCTCAATGATGAAACAACAACAAAATGTACACAAAACTCCACTTCTGAGTACTTTGAAGTGCTCTGTACTGTAAGTATCACTACTGCATTGCTGCATACATAGTTTAACGAGTTATATATCTTTAAACTAATCAAACAATTATTTAAACTAATATAGAAATGAATATTATTATTTAAAACTATAATATATTCAATAATAATTAGATGCAATTAAATAATCCTGAATAAATATTAATTTTTAAATAACTATATTATTTCATTTGTAAGCAAAAATACCTACACTTTTTCACAAATGAAGAAACGTGTTTGATTTTAAGTAAACTGTCGTGAGTACATTCTTCATAGAGAGCTAAAAATCCATCAAGAAGACATTCGTTATCCAATGTTCCTTGCTGCTCGCAGTGCCGAGATTGTTGTGACTTATCCATTTTCGATCGTCGATTCATGTCCGACTGTCAATCAATACTACACCAAGGCCACAAACAAATTATCGCAATACTCACTGTTCACTGTTTTGCCAATTTGGTACAAAATGAGAATTACTAATCACTACTAATCGACAAACAATTATTTATTATATGTGCATATACTACACAATATATACGATTTTTTTTAAAACAATCAATAAGTGTGTTAACTCAAAGATTTCCCTACAACAAAAGTTAACGGCCACCGAACGGAAACGCCTAACACAAAGTGACAGTCAACTCAATCGAGTTAAAGTTTCTTTAGTTTGTTTACAAGATAATCCAGCGATCATTCATACACCAAGGCGTACTGTTTACTTCGTCAACGATATTCCATCGCGTTATGAAAGAAAATTACTTCATCGCGCATCAACATAAACTAAACACGCATAACAACGTCTTCCAGCTGGTGTAAAATGTTAACAAACACCTCACAAACAAACAAATTTAAGTAGACATTTTGTCCCCGGCCTTTTCTACTTGAATATCCCGCACCGCTGTGTACCAGGATTTCTCCCAGCTTGAAAGTTCTAAATACTTTTGTTATTTTTGTATTTCAACTTCATTCATACATCGTGTACATAAAACATATTTAAGAGCTATGAAAATAATTAATTATCAAAAGTGTATTATTTCTTAAAGTAACGTCTTAAAATTGCGCTAATTTACGATAGTTTCACAAAATAATTGTCGAAATATTAAGGGTGCTAACCTGGCATTTGCAGTTTGAAGAGCCAATGAAAACCGAGAGATCATAGATTCCACATTTAAAACATAAACAATGGAATCTATTAAAACATTAGATACAATATATAGGTGTTTCGTCCTTTTTAGGACGCAATTTTTTTTGTTATTTGAAGCCCCACCCTGGCTTTTGCCGGGGGCTGCAATATAGGCAGGCCATAAATATGGCCAATTGTCTGAACGCGGTTTCTGGGACCTCTCCACGGCGATCCTCATCCGCACGGTGGCACTTTGTGTCATCGGGTGTTTATCGCTTGTGGGATGTCCTGGTAAAGTAGAAAGTCAGTCAGTCATTTATCAAAAATTTTTTTTCGAAATCTTCCCGTCCTTTTTAGGATGTAATTTTTTTGTTTTATGAAGCCCTACTCTAGCTTTTCCTAGGGGCCGCAATATAGCCAGGCCTTAAATATAGCCTAAAGGCTGAAGGGGTTTCCGAGACCTCTCCAAGGGTGATCCTCGTCCGCATGGTGGCACTTTGTGTCACCGGCTATTTATAGCTTGTCTGATGTCCCGGTGGGGTACAACTTACCTAACTACCTATTTATCAAAAGGACCATTATATCCTTACATTCCTTGGCTGCCAGGTCGACCCGACATTAAATGGGTTCCGGTGAAATCCTGGGCAGTAAATGAGTCCGGTGTGATGTTGACCACGTCACCTACCAAATGCCGATTGATCTATAAAATATACGTCTATTACTATATAGATAGACAGGAAGCGATGCAAAACGAATGACCAGTTTCTAAAGACGAATCATGGAAAAAGTATGGAGAGCAGATGCTCACACTTAATAGAAGTTCTCCTGAAGAATTTTTCCAACAGATTAAAAATAGGAAATCAAGAGAATAATTCTACAGTCCAACCACTATTTTAAACAACAAGATGGGTAGCTAGCAAGATGGGTAGACTATTTTTAAAGAGCTACTCAACCCTGAAACCGAGGTAGATACATCAGTTTTGTGCCTATAAACAGTGACCAGTGTGATCCAAAGTTTTTAACATCAGAAATAAAAGCTGTGCTACAGAAGAGCTTTACAAATAAGTCATCTGGTTAAGATGGAATAACTACAAAAGCTATTCAAGTTTGGGTTCAAACTGGCGTCAAATGGGTAACACGAATGTTCAATATAGCATAGGAAGAAATGAAAGTACTTGACTAGCAGCAGGCATTGATAATATTAGTTTGGAAACAGACATGTAATACAAGAGACAGTACGTCTTAAAAATGTATATCACTCTGAAGCCACATGGGGAAAATGTATGCGAAATTATTAGAGCAGAGAGTTAGACATACAATGAAACAGCACCTAAGTACATCACAATTTGGTTTCCGGAACGGAAACGGTTGCATAGATGCAGTACTCACACTAGCGATAAAAACTATTGAACTGAATATTGTGTTTCCCCCGTGTGGGTTCCGGGGCCCTATTGTGGGGAAAACAAGAATAGACCCACTGCCTCCCCAAAAGCATGTCGTAAGAGTCGACTAACTGGGGAGCTTCCTTTGAAGTCGGAGTGCATCTGCCTGAGAGGCAAGGAACCAGCAGTCTGCATTCAATTGAATCAGATCTGTAAAACTGATGCACATGCAGCACTCAGGTTCTGGAGCATGACTGCAGTTCAGTAGTGGACGAACAACCAGAACTTTACGCCAGAGTGTACAGCTGGTGAACACA